AGCGTTGCCTGAAAGACACATAGACATTTAATGTTTTATAAAATATATTCCTGACTTAAGCCAAATTATTAGGGATCTGAGAATCTAGACCACAATACATTGGCTCCTTTAAGAATTGCTTTTTCTGAATTGCAGTTGGGTGTGGTATCTTTTGCCTACACTTAAGGTGGTTATAAGAAACTGCCCTAAGAAAGTCATTGTTTCACTTATTGAAGTTCATCATAAAGGAGGTTCACTTCAACACATAGGGCCCCTTTAATGAGTACTTGTGGGAGAAACTCCTGACTTTGAACCCCAAATTTCCTTACTTCTTCTTAGCACCAGTTTGTATTTATATCTTATAAACATCGTTGATAGAGTGTTTGGTCATGTTTCCTTTTTCACATTCTCTGCTAGTAGGAAGCTTAGATTCAAACTTGTAGACACATATTTATGTCATTATGGTATGCATTTGGGGCTTTGCTCCCAGTTTCATTTAGTCCCCTCTCTTGTGTTTTTTACTTTTTTCATCCTACTTTTAACTTACCGTATTTGCCGGCGTATAAGACGATTTTTTGGCCCTGAAAAATATGCCTCCAAGTGGGGGGTCGTCTTATACGCCAGGTACACTTCANCAGTGTCACTGGTCCTCATATGTGGGATCCGAACCGGGGCCCTCTGGCATCCCAAGCCAGTTCTTAACCATCGCGCCACTCAGCCGGCCCAAATTTTTATGGTTTTTATTGTCCACCTTCAGACACACAAGACACCAAGGCATCTAATGCTTCTTCCAGCTTATCACGTCCCATCAAGGTTGTGGACCAGTATGATGTTCTGTGATATGTCAGCATAATCAAGGCCTCTGCATACTAGATTATGATAGAAAGAAAGAGAGCTGCCTTGGCGCTATGGCAAGGCAGTAAAAATACACTGCTGTTCCTGACAGGTGAAATCAAATGTCTGTTGGTACTTAGAAACCACTCAAGAGAAAATATTACTTGACAGACCAATAATGGTGAATGAGAGGGCTGTGTTAATTTGGTCCAAGAAAGATTCCACATCTTGAGTAGCAGCTGCAAAATGAGTAATAGTATTCTACAAAAATAAATAAATAAATAAATAAATCTGTTCTTCGGAAGACACTTAAAAGGAAATTCCAGTTAACCATATATTTTGTTATGAACATTTCTCTAGGCTCATGTAGCTATAGGTATGGTTTTTGTCATTATTTGCTTTATAGAAATGCAATAAAAAATACACATTTTTGTATATTTTACATTTTTTACTCAATAATAATGTGTAAAATTTCCTCCTAGTCAACTGGTATAGATCTATTCAATTTGTATGAAGGCTGCATGATATTCCAAGATGTAGACGTACCATTATTTTTAAAATATTCCCCTACAGATAAGCATTCCCTTAATCTCTCTCTTAATACCTCTCTCTCTCTCTCTCTCTCTCTCTCTCTCTCTCTCTCTCTCTCATAAACAATGCAACAGAAATCATTCTTGTACATGTATTTTCTATTTGCTAGTGCTTTTATTTCTTTGGGATAAAAATTCAGGAATGGGATCACTTGGTTGAAGGATGTACGTATTTTTTATTTAAATATATCTACATTATTTTAGAAAGATACTATATTAAATTTTCACCAGGAATGTCTTAGAAAATACCATTCCTCTATCCCTACCAGCAATATGTATTATCATTTTAAAATATTTTGCTCATCTGTTGAGTATATAATGATTCCATGAATTGTGTGTTCATATCTTTTGACCATTTTTCTTTGGGGGCTTATATAGTGTCCTACCATCAGAGAAAGTGGCATTTAGTTCAGTGACAGCCATAGTACTAGTTGACTCTAACTGTATGGAGTTCATCCTAGTGAGTCATTTGGAAGTTTTGTTTTGTGTTGTTTATGCCCATGGCTCTTCTTGTCCGAACCCCAGGTATCTTCCTGAGGGGTACTCCCAGAACCTTTACTGCCATCTTCTCAGCACACCCACACCTCTTCACACACAGGTATTTGGGAACACTCATTACCTATCCTCTAGCCACAGGAGTGGGCCTAACCTCAAGACCACCCACCTAGACCCCTCTTTCTGTAGTGGTTACCCTTCTTCTTTAGTGTCGTGTTGGGTTCAGGGCTTCTCTATGAAGATTGCAGTTTCTAAGCTACACCCAGGAAATAAAGCATAAGCCCTGCTGTTAAATTTCTCTTCAACCTACTTTTCCAAGAGTTTCTATAATGTTGCCTTCAACCTCCAACCCTGATTGGGGCTCAGGGGTGGGGACTCAGAAACTAACTCTGACTTAGGGACCCAGACAACCTCTAACCCCTAGTCACCTCTCCTCCAACCTACTTCTCCCATCAGCTGGTCATAATTTCCCAGTGATAGAAAAAGTGCTTTGGGGCCGGCCGAGTGGCGCGATGGTTAAGAACTCGCTTGGGATGCCAGAGGGCCCCGGTTCAGATCCCACATATAAGGGCCAGTGACACTGCCCTCTGCAGCTAAGATGCTGAACAACAGCTCAACCTGGAGCTGGGCTGCAGTGGGTCGCCGGCGACGGCGTGGGCTGCAGCCCCTGTGGCAGTGGGTTGCCATGGGCTACCGTCTGTAGCCAGCAGCCAGCGTGAGCA